TACGGAGGACTGAAACGTAAAAGGAAGCGGAGCCCTAATTGAATCTTACATTTTATTCGTGTTTGTAATTGGTTCGCAGTTGTGTATTTGATGAATATGAGCCGAGAGATAAAGTTTTGCTGCCCCAACTTCAACAAAATTCGTTAGAACTTTCATTACGGAGGACTGAAACGTAAAAAGGAAGCGCGGAGCCCTAATTGAATCTTACATTTTATTTCGTGTTTGTAATTGGTTCGCAGTTGTGTATTGATGAATATGAGCCGAGAGATAAAGTTTTGCTGCCCAACTTCAACAAAATTCGTTAGAACTTTCATTACGGAGGACTGAAACGTAAAAAGGAAGGCGGAGCCCTAATTGAATCTTACATTTTATTCGTGTTTGTAATTGGTTCGCAGTTGTGTATTTGATGAATATGAGCCGAGAGATAAAGTTTTGCTGCCCAACTTCAACAAAATTCGTTAGAACTTTCATTACGGAGGACTGAAACGTAAAAAGGACGGCGGAGCCCTAATGAATCTTACATTTTATTCGTGTTTGTAATTGGTTCGCAGTGTGTATTTGATGAATATGAGCCGAGAGATAAGTTTTGCTGCCCAACTTCAACAAAAATTCGTTTAGAACTTTCATTACGGAGGACTGAAACGTAAAAAGGAAGGCGGAGCCCTAATTGAATCTTACATTTTATTCGTGTTTGTAATTGGTTCGCAGTTGTGTATTTGATGAATATGAGCCGAGAGATAAAGTTTTGCGCCCAACTTCAACAAAATTCGTTAGAACTTTCATTACGGAGGGACTGAAACGTAAAAAGGAAGGCGGAGCCCTAATTGAATCTTACATTTTATTCGTGTTTGTAATTGGTTCGCAGTTGTGTATTTGATGAATATGAGCCGAGAGATAAAGTTTTGCTGCCCAACTTCAACAAAATTCGTTAGAACTTCATTACGGAGGACTGAAACGTAAAAAGGAAGGCGGAGCCCTAATTGAATCTTACATTTATTCGTGTTTGTAATTGGTTCGCAGTTGTGTATTTGATGAATATGAGCCGAGAGATAAAGTTTGCTGCCCAACTTCAACAAAAATTCGTTAGAACTTTCATTACGGAGGACTGAAACGTAAAAAGGAAGGCGGAGCCCTAATTGAATCTTACATTTATTTGTTTGTAATTGGTTCGCAGTTGTGTATTTGATGAATATGAGCCGAGAGATAAAGTTTTGCTGCCCAACTTCAACAAAATTCTTAGAACTTTCATTACGGAGGACTGAAACGTAAAAAGGAAGGCGGAGCCCTAATGAATCTTACATTTTATTCGTGTTGTAATGGTTCGAGTTGGTATTTGATGAATATGAGCCGAGAGATAAGTTTTGCTGCCCAACTTCAACAAAATCGTTAGAACTTCATTACGGAGGACTAAAAACGTAAAAAGGAAGGCGGAGCCCTAATTGAATCTACATTTTATTCGTGTTTGTAATTGGTTCGCAGTGTGTATTTGATGAATATGAGCCGAGAGATAAAGTTTTGCTGCCAACTTCAACAAAATTCGTTTAGAACTTTCATACGGAGGACTGAAACGTAAAAGGAAGGCGGAGCCCTAATTGAATCTTACATTTTATTCGTGTTGTAATTGGTTCGCAGTTGTGTATTTGATGAATATGAGCCGAGAGATAAAGTTTTGCTGCCCAACTCAACAAAATCGTTAGAACTTTCATTACGGAGGACTGAAACGTAAAAGGAAGGCGGAGCCCTAATTGAATCTTACATTTTTTCGTGTTTGTAATTGGTCGCAGTGTGATTGAGAATATGAGCCGAGAGATAAAGTTTTGATGCCCAACTTCAACAAAATTCGTTAGAACTTTCATACGGAGGACTGAAAACGTAAAAGGAAGGCGGAGCCCTAATTGAATCTTACATTTTATTCGTGTTGTAATGGTTCGCAGTGTGTATTTGATGAAAGCCGAGAGATAAAGTTTGGCCCAACTTCAACAAAATTCGTTAGAACGTTCATTACGGAGGACTGAAAACGTAAAAAAAGGAAGGCGGAGCCCTAATGAATCTTACATTTATTCGTGTTTGTAATTGGTTCGCAGTGATTTGATGAATATGAGCGAGAGATAAAGTTTTGCTGCCAACTTCAACAAAATTCGTTTTAGAACTTTCATTACGGAGGACTGAAACGTAAAAAGGAAAGGCGGAGCCTAATTGAATCTTACATTTTATTCGTGTTTGTAATTGGTTCGCAGTGTGTATTGATGAATATGAGCCGAGAGATAAAGTTTTGCGCCCAACTTCAACAAAATCGTTAGAACTTCATTACGGAGGACTGAAAACGTAAAAAAGGAAGGCGGAGCCCTAATTGAATCAATTTTATTCGTGTTTGTAATTGGTTCGCAGTTGTGTATTTGATGAATATGAGCGAGAGGATAAGTTTTGCTGCCCCCAACTTCAACAAAATTCGTTAGAACTTTCATTACGGAGGACTAAAACGTAAAAAGGAAGGCGGAGCCCTAATTGAATCTACATTTTATTCGTGTTTGAATTGGTTCGCAGTTGTGTATTTGAGAATATGAGCGAGAGATAAAGTTTTGCTGCCCAACTTCAACAAAATCGTTAGAACTTTCATACGGAGGACTGAAACGTAAAAGGAGGCGGAGCCCTAATGGAATATTACATTTTATTCGTGTTTGTAATTGGTTCGCAGTTGTGTATTGATGAATATGAGCCGAGAGATAAAGTTTTGCTGCCAACTAACAAAATTCATTAGAACTTCAGACGGAGGACTGAAACGTAAAAAGGAAGGCGGAGCCTAATTGAATCTTACATTTATTCGTGTTTGTATTGGTTCGCAGTTGGTATTTGATGAATATGAGCGAGAGATAAGTTTTGCTGCCCAACTTCAACAAAATTCGTTAGAACTTTCATTACGGAGGACTGAAACGTAAAAGGAAGCGGAGCCCTAATGAATCTTACATTTTATTCGTGTTGTATTGGTTCGCAGTTGTGTATTTGATGAATATGAGCGAGAGATAAGTTTGCTGCCAACTTCAACAAAATTCGTTAGAACTTCATTACGGAGGGACTGAAACGTAAAAGGAAGCGGAGCCTATGAATCTTACATTTATCGTGTTTGAATTGGTTCGCAGTTGTGTATTTGATGAATATGAGCCGAGAGATAAAGTTTTGCTGCCCAACTCAACAAAATTCGTTAGAACTTTCATTACGGAGGACTGAAACGTAAAAAAGGAAAGGCGGAGCCTAATTGAATCTTAATTTATTGGTTTGTAATTGGTTCAGTTGTGTTTTGATGAAATATGAGCGAGAGATAAGTTTGCTGACCCCAATAAACAAAATTCAGAACTTACATTACGGAGGACTGAAACGTAAAAAGGAGGCGGAGCCCTAATGAATTTACATTTTATTCGTGTTTGTAATTGGTTCGCAGTTGTGTATTTGATGAATAGAGCGAGAGATAAAGTTTGTGCCCACTTAAACAAAATTCGTTAGAACTTTCATTACGGAGGACGAAACGTAAAAAGGAAGGCGGAGCCCTAATGAATCTACATTTATTCGTTTGTAATGGTTTCGCAGTGTGTATTTGATGAATATGGCCGAGAGATAAAGTTTGTGCCCAACTTAACAAAATTCGTTAGAACTTTCATTACGGAGGACTGAAACGTAAAAGGAAGGCGGAGCCTAATGATCTTACATTTTATTCGTGTTTGTAATGGTTCGCAGTTGTGTATTTGATGAATATGAGCCGAGAGATAAAGTTTTGCTGCCCACTTCAACAAAATTCGTTTAGAACTTCATACGGAGGACTGAAACGTAAAAAGGAAGCGGAGCCTATTGAATCTTACATTTTATGTGTTTGTAATTGGTTCGCAGTTGTTATTTGATGAATATGAGCCGAGAGATAAGTTTTGCTGCCCAACTTCAACAAAATTCGTTAGAACTTTCATTACGGAGGACTGAAACGTAAAAAGGAAGGCGGGCCCTAATTGAATCTTACATTTTATTGTGTTTGTATTGGTTCGCAGTGTGTATTTGTGAATATGAGCCGAGAGATAAAGTTTTGCTGCCCAACTTCAACAAAATCGTTAGACTTATTACGGAGGACTGAACGTAAAAAGGAAGGGGAGCCCTAATTGAATCTTACATTTTATTCGTGTTTTGTAATTGGTTCGCAGTTGTGTATTTGATGAATATGAGCCGAGAGATAAAGTTTTGCTGCCCAACTTCAACAAATTCGTTAGAACTTTCATTACGGAGGCTGAAACGAAAGGAAGGCGGGGCCCTAATTGAATCTTACATTTTATTCGTGTGTAATGGCCAGTTGTGATTGAGAATATGAGCCGAGAGATAAAGTTTTGCTGCCCAAACTTCAACAAAATTCTTTGAACTTTCATTACGGAGGACTGAAACGTAAAAAGGAAGGCGGAGCAATAATCTACATTTTATTGTGTTTGTAATTGGTTCGCAGTGTGTATTTGATGATATGAGCCGAGAGATAAGTTTGCTGCCAACTCAACAAAAATAAAAACCATCTCTAAACAAGCCAAATTTAAAATCTTTCTATAAATACAACTATATGTAGCTCCATTCGTCGTCTGGTTGGCTTAGCTTAATCTGTTAGATAAGCTGAAGTGAGGGCTATTTCATCTTTCGGCTTCCATTTCGAAAATTATGTACAGCAGCATTGCAGAGTGAAAGCGCCGTTTTAAGGGCAGTAGTTTCTCTTTCTCAATTCTCCCAACCCTCAATTGAACCCAGATTCAACCCTCAATTCAATTCTCAATTCAACCCGAATATATATAAAGAAATATTAGATTAATTTTATTTAGCTCAGTTGTGATGCTATGTAATACCTTATTCTCATAATTTCCAAAAAGACATTAGCTACTTATAATTTATTACATTTGCATGCATGTTTCATTGTTTGATTCAATGAAGACTGCAAAAAAAGTGGAAGTCATTAACATGTTTCATATAATTAATGATTTACATACCATGTGATATTTGGTTTGGGATTTCCAACTACAGTACAAGTAAATTGTGCATTCTTGTTCTCAAGACACGTCACAGTCTTCAAAGGCATCATGAATTCTGGAGCAACAGGAGCTGAAAAAGAAGTACTTGTTTTTTAACAACGAGTTTCACGTAGGGAAGAGGAAAACTTATATCACTTTATTTATTTTTTAAAGTACGGTGCATTTTTCCACATTTGTATATATATTTCCAATAGAAAGGTGACCACTGTGACGTCAGCATACCGGCCGAAAAACCCCACTGTTGTAATTGTTTATGACAGTGGTCAAGAGCTTGTGGCTCTTGAATCAATATTATGCGGCCCGCTAATATATTTTCTCCAAATTAATTAGGATTTTGAGGATATTATTTATTGCAGCTAAATTGTGAATGAATGTTTAAGACTATAACGACATAATGTCCAGTTTTACATTATTTTCATTATCATTAAAAACGAATGTGAGTAATGCTCCAGAAAATCTAAAAACGGAGTTAATGCCAAATACTTCAACCGTCGAAGATAGAGTAGACGAGACTGTAAAAAATTCTAACAATTAATGGTCGAGCACTGACCCTATGACGAAAGATACTCATAATTGTTCAGATTATTCAGAGTTTATGAGTCAGAAAGCGGAGATTTTTGGTTAGGTTATTAATTTAAGACAAGAGTACACGATCGCCATCTGACTAAGGAAAGGATATCTTCGCGAAAGACTTCCTAAGATAAACTGGCTCGTATTCATCATACTGCGTATCAGGAGGAACACTTAACTTCTTGCAGCGAGTCTATGCAGGGAGATTTGAACTCGGATCGAATTACCACTGTAGATGTCTTATACAATGATTACATATGATAGCCTACGTGAGACATTTCTAGAAATTCCAGTATCTCGGCCTCACATGCTCACATCAACATGAATTCTAAGTTCCTGAAACTTTTAAGAGTAGCTAAGGTTTGTTAAATTGCGAAATTCTATACCCTCGAATCTTTCAGAGTTACTTACTACCGGAAAACTCTTGTATATATAAAATGTCTTGCTCTAAAAGAGAGCTGGGCAAAGATTTGACCAAACGGCCATATCGGAATTAAGAAAACGATGGGACGAAAATAAAACAGTAGTTTTAGATATAAACATAATGGAGAAAAATGAGTTCTATCATAATAATTAAATTTATAAAACAACCAACAATTTAATGCAACAAATGATGCTGTTTTATATCTTTCACTTAATTTCAGAGGTAATTTTAGGTTTAATTTTGTAGTGATGATTTTGAAACTGCTTGTAAAGAATTATCAGTAATGTTTAATTTTAACACGTTTTTATTGAGTTCGTAATAGAAAATGTCTGTTCATTTATATGGGTTGATCTAAAAATAACCAACATATTCCAACAAAATCATTAAGCTAGTCAATATTCTTCGAATTAAGAATATCATAAAATTCTCAGATAATCTAAAGTTGTGGTTGACACTAATTCAGAAGTCAAACAACAAAAATCAGCGTTATATTTTCAAACTTTTCACAGGACTAGTTTCGATGGTTTTGCCGAACCACCATCCTCAGCTGCAAGACCGCAAATGAACAAAATAGGTATTTCTGTCTCTCATAGGAATCCACTAGTGAGAGAAATTTAACCTTTTTTGTTAGCATGTTTGACAAAAGTTTAGGTTAGTTACGTTTTTTCTTCGTTTGTATGTAGGAAATCTTAAGTTAGGCCGTAGAGCTCATTCCTTTTATTTTTAGTCACAGAATATAAAATGAAACAGTGTACAAGAACAGCTGCTAAATATGTGTTGTCATTCAATGTTTTTATGTGATATACTTCGTATTGTAAAAATACCGCAAAATAAAAATGTGTCTCATCTAACACAAGAAAATCGTTTTTACAGATAAAACACCACCACTACGAGGTATTTATCATGCCCTATTAACACCATTTCTTAACAGTAATTGACGATTGATTGCAGGGATAAGATCTCAGTTTTTTAAAAATCACCAGATCTTGATAATGATAAACAATTTACGATATATAATATTTTATCTTGATTTGACTAAAATTAAATACTATAAAAATAGTTCACAATCTTACAAACTAAAACCGCAGTATAAATTTAAATTAATTTTATTTCAAGTGGAATTAAAAGAGGGAAAAATTAAACTATTGTAAGAAATATAGTTATTATTGTAATTATTATAAAATATTAAATATATATAATAATATAAGTATTACATCATATAATACAACTATTAAATATAATTATTACATTCGCGTGACTGAAAATTCTATATAAAATGGTGATACAGAGTATCTCTTACCATTGGGATCAATAATCTTCACAGCGGTTTCTGTTATGGCAGGTGGACTCAAGCCAGCCTCGTTGAATGCAAATATTCTGAACTCGTACTGTCTGTCTTCTATAAGATTGATGATGTTTATTTGCGTGGGATGACAAGGGCTGTGGTTTACTTTCTGCCAAGTCTGAGTACCAGCTTCTCGCTTTTCGATCCAATAGCCTAAAATTCGAGAACCTCCATCGCTGACTGGCTTTTCCCAAGAGAGATTTACGAAATCTCCACCAACTTCTACAACCTTGAGTGGACCTGGTGGACCCGGTGGATCTAACGAAATTGAAAATAGTTAGACATAGTGCTGTTGGCCTTAGATATAATAAATATTCAAGTATGCAGTACTTGAATAATGTAATTTCAAGAGTGTTCAATGAATTTTAGTGTTACGTAAATGAATTACGTATATTAAGTTACCCATTTATTATAGTAACCACAGAATTACCCTACGCTTTACTACACTTTAAAAACGCGCTTTTGGTCTTTCAATGAGAAGTTTTTTGGCAACCCTGCATCCAGTCAATCGATCTGCGCCATTTTTGGAAATTGCATTTTACTAATTTTCTGCTTCTATGTTAATCTCATATTATTTAATATATTTCATTGCTTTATTATTGAAATTAGAAAAAATAACATTCTTGCGATGAATCTACAACGGCTCAGTGTAATACAGCATTTATTAACTAAGTTGTAGGGCTCTGTTGTTTCTTGAAGCTTATGTTAATGTTCTGGAAACCTTACTAAACTAGTAGTGAGCTATCGCTTAGTCTGGAACAAATCACAAAGTCTAAAGAAGGTTGAGATAATATTTTTATTTTTAGTTATTAATATTTTAGTATTTAAGTCTTAAATAAACAAAAAGGCACAGCTTGTGCGAAAAGGAGCTTCCTCTACTTGCAGACATTTAAATCAACATAACAGAAAGTTAAATTTCAAATGCAGACTACACATAAAAGAGGCTACTCAAACTGGCTGAAGATAATAAGTGGTGCGAATTTTAGCGTCATCTAAGATGTTAAAAGACAAAATACACTTAGCTTAGGCAGAGCTGGCGAAATAATTAACAGCAAGACAAGTCTGCCAAAAGCTCTAATCTAAGCATTAAAACCTCCGTTTACAATTAACTTACATTCTAGCGCTTTTACAACTAACACAATACACAAGCAACTAATCTGCATTGTAGTGAGAATTAAGAAAGGAGAATTTATAGCAAAGGTTTAAATCATAATAATTGGTAAATTAACATGAAATACCTTATAAATTCTTCAAAAAACCCATGATATTATCTACTATTTTCTGTTATTAAAGCTGTTTATTTAATGAATGTCTGTGTTTTACGACCATTGGAGTATTCATAAATCAGTCATACATTTAATATATAGATTGTTAATTTCCAAATTTAAAACTCTTCCACTAAAAAACAGGATCGGATTAAGACTTTTAGAGACCCTAAGCACATGAAAGATTTTGATGCTTCCGCATCTATTTGCAGTTATAATGCGTATTTTTTTCCTATATTTTCTCTTTTGATCTTGATTTAGCTGTACTTCATTTCTTATGTATTTTTTTAAATAAGCATGTAAAAAAATTTACAGACCATACGGCACCCGAAAAAGAAATTTTAAGTTTTCTTTTGTGTGACTTCTAAGTCATTAAATTATACACAACACTGGCTACTAGTTTTCAGTATGAAGTTAGAAAAGTATTGAATCATGAACACATTGAACCATGAAACAAATAATGTATAAGTATTGTCTGTTTCATGGGTTAATTCTAATGAAATGATAGAGAAATAAAAATTACAGTTATGCAGATAAAGGTATTTTAATACTTATTAATATACAAACACATATCCACTTCTTCAGTGATAATAAAATTAGAAAATTTCAGAATATTCTGCTTAAATAATAATTTATACAAAATCTAATATAACTTTAAGATAAATACAAACTATAAAATAAAGAACTCTATGCATATGCCTAATAGTGTACATGCTAGTATCATATTTCAAATTAAAAATTGTTATTTCGATATCTCAGAAATTTTTAATAAGTGCTATTATAAATGATTTCTTTATAAATTGTTAATCAAGATAAAAATATATGTAAATAATTACCAAATGGTAACTTGGCTATGATTGGATTGGTGCCCACCAGTGGAGCACTCTGGCCATTTTCGTTGACTGCCATCACCCGGAATAAATATTCACCATTTTCTGTCAAGCCCTGCACTGTGAATGTCGTATCCTAAAGTTAAAAAAAGAACAGAAATATTAAAAAGCAATTTACTGAACTGAATGGTTTGAGAACTACCGTACGTATATAATTGTTCATTTTCATTTTTACCCTATAAACAAATGACTGATCTACGATAATATAAAATTCAACTTTACATTTTCAGATATACCTTATCGCCACATGAATAACAACGAATAAATGAAGTCAGTAAATACTTCACATGATTTGTGACATCTTATGTTTTACATGTTGAACTCATTTAGTATTTAACGAGGACATACCATTATTTAATAGATTCGCAAAATAAAATTTGACCATCGTTGTTATTTGTTATTACTCCTTTCAACCTTAAATATAATTAGATTTTATATGACGCCTAACGTTTTCGTCATCAGAAAATGCTCGCGGCATCTCTGTGAGAAAGCGGGAAATACATGGATAGAAAAGTTAAGCTTGAAGCTGTTGCGATACAAATTCCATAAAGATGATATATTTCCTTAAGAGGTGATTAGATCGAATTTCGAATTCTTTATATTTTCTTTATTTCAAATTTCGACTTCAATTTTTAAAGTTTCTAAACGATAAGAACAAAATTCTAGAATACGAAGATGTTGTTAAAGGAGTACACAAAAAATAGTTTCACGTTAGATAATCAGTAAGGAAGCGAGAAACATGGATTTAGTGAAGAGTTTGAAAATTACTGGACTGAAATCTTCTTTTAAAACTTCATACCCAAATATGAGTTAGAAATCGACCTTAAAGATGAAACTAAATCAAAATATAAAACTCTACAATGCTAGAAGTATCGAATTTTATAATAATAGTTCTGTACGCGCTAAAGTACGCATCTCAAATTCTACATGTAGTGGTTCAGTGACAATTCTATATTCCCAATAACAATTTAGTTCAAAAAACGAATTTAATTGAATATCAGAAATTTTATAATCTAATCTACATCTCATCAGCAGCATTCGAGCTGTGTCAAAACAAATCGAAAATCAAGTTCTCAGGTTCAGACTGTTGCCATTTCAAGGCAGAGAAAAGTTTCTATTCAAACCGGAAGAAGTTCATTTTAGTTTTAATTGACACTTGAATATCTCCTTATATAATAATGCACGAATAAGGATATATTTTCTGTGAGAATCAAAAGTTCATATGAATTATAATCAGACAATTTTTTTCCCTTTTCACTTTGGCTATGGTTTTATCCGTTTTATATTGAATAACGTTAGTGATTAGAAGTATGTTCGCTGCAAGTCATTTATATTTTGTTTTAACTTTTTTTTTTTTTTTTTTTTGTTTAACCCATTTTTCTGCAGTGAAGCAAAATTTGAAATACATGATATAAAAAAGACGTGTGTTGCAATAGTGTTAAATAAAACCATTAAAATTTAAATAATAGATATATTACATGTTTTTACTCGCACAAATATAAATTATCATATAATACGCTCCTAAATGAAGCTAAAAATAAATTTCTTAATACATTATTATCTTTGCTTTAATAACCATATCATTTTTTAACTATTTCACTTCAATGCGAGTGAACATGATTATTTCCATGAGTCAAGTTTTGTATTAATAATCAGAATTGTTGTAATATAATTAATTAATCAAAATCTTTAGTTTAGTGATTTAAAGCTTGATTAAATTTGAGTTACGTAACGTACAAGAGAAACAAATTCAGCAACATCAATACTAACAAACTAATTTGAATCTTATCATCTACTCACTTTGCAATAACTAGCCGCAATAACCCATTGATCATGACTAGTCTCTTTCCTTTCGATGAAATAGTGAGTGATTTTGCATCCTCCGTCGTACTCAGGAGGCTTCCAGGTTAAAGTGGCGGTATGTTGCGTGATATCACTAACTTCCAGCGGGCCGATGGGAGGTCCAGGAAGACCTGAAATAAGGAAATTAATGTTAATAAAGTGATGCGTTTGATGTCATTATATGGTATTCGATCAGAATTTGTGTCGCAGTATAATAAAATTTTTCTAATAAATTTCTTCAAATATTGTAGGTTTTAAGGGGAGCAGAAAGTCAACTACTTTATAAAAAATGATAAATACCGATTTCAGTTTACTTGGTAAAAGAAATTTGCTTTCCAATTTATTAAAAGTTATAAAATGCATGCTCCTTGATAACTTTTAGTTAGTGAGGTTTGATGTTGATTGAGAGAGATTTACAATCAATTTAAAGAAATCGCTAGGTATCGTATTTAAAAATGTAAGAAGAAACGCGATCATTATGACTATCAGCTGATTTTGAATTCTGATGATGGTGTATGCATAATCATATAAACAAATAATATAATTAAAATTTTAATACAGTTTAAGAACATAACTGATAATCTTTAATTTTATACATTTCTGATCGAATATGCAAACTGAAACATAGACATAAAAATGAGAGCAATATTTAAGAACTAAACTGAGAATAAAAATTAACTTGGTATTACTACTTGAGCTATGCATCACTATCTATTTCTGTAAAATCGTGAAAATAAAAAAAAAAATTGACACAGTTGTAGGGTTTCTGTTGCAAATGGAAGCTTAAGTCCTGCACACCCTATTAGACTAATAGCGAGTTATTGCTACGTCTAAAAAACTCACAAAATACTGAAGAAGGTAAAATAACCTTTTTATTTAATCCTAAATTGAAATGAACAGGCACAATTTGTGGCTTCAGATGAAACTTCCACTATTAGTGGATATTTAAATTAACATAATAAAGTCAAATTCAAATGTAAAGATGTAGTCTGAGACTACACATAAACTAGTCTAATTTAAGCTAGCTCGGACATTGTAAAACATCGACTAGCGAGATGCTAAAGTCGGAATATGACTTTTAAGCAGAGCTGGGGAAATAACTAACAGAAAGGCGTGGCTGCCAGAAGCTGTCAGTTAAAGATAAAAAACCTCAGCTTAAATACTCAAAACTTAATTTGCATTCTGGTGGGAAATACGGAAGTGAAAAGTTATAGTAAAGACTTGAATCATAGTAACTAGATAATTAAGATAAAGTACACCTTGCACACATACACACAAAACAGGACAGTTCTGTATTTGCCTCTCTACTGGACCGATTGACGAAATTTAACTTACATTTTTCATGTCTCGAAAGCGCGATTTAGGATACATATTAGATTTATATATAGCATTTTCTAACATAGGAATTTTTACACAAACTTTTTTGGATGTAATAGTGTTCTGTAATCTTAAAGTACACCGGAAGTTAGATATGTATCACTTAATATTAATATACAAGCTTGAGCACAGATGCTTTTTTAGTGAGTTGTTTGAACGAGTGGTAATATATCTCACAAGGACAATTTTATTTTCTAAACGAATAGAAGAGTTAAATATAATCCAAAATATTTCTGTTTCGTAAAAGCAGATATAATAGGGATATTGAGGTTATTTCAAAGAAATTAAAATTTTGAGTAATCACCTACCTGTCACAAACAAAGAGAAGTCTGCCTCGGCAGATCCGCTTTCATTCCTGACAGTTATTTTGTATTTTCCCATATCGTTCTTCTCAATTTCTTTCCAATAAATAATCACGTAGTCGTCGAATACGGTGTACTTTATGTGTCCGTCTTCTTTCACCTCGAAATTGTTCTTGTATAACAGCACATCGAAAGGTGAAGTACCAGAGAAGTAGATCTTAACTTTGGCATTTTCCTTTTCGGGGAAATACACTTCTGTTGGGCAACGCTCGATCTTTGGTGCAACTATAAAGGCAAAATGAATTTTGCTTTACTTTCTTATAATATTCAAAACCTATACTTCAATAAATTGTTTATTTCTAATTATAAGTAATTCTAACATGATGCCGTAATAACAATCTGCATTCTTCTATGCTTAATATAGAGGCATCAAAATATTTACACATTCAAAAAGATTAATGTTTAGTACAGATTTTAGTCAAGATTCAAAGGATTTTGAGGGCAAAGAAGCACAAGACCCTCTATATTAGCAACAAAGAAATTGGCAAAAAAGGAAAAGCCATGGTTGTATTTATATCCAAAAGGATTAAAGCGAACGAGAAGGTAGCGTCATATATCAGCAGAAATAGAAAAGAAAATTGAAAATTACGTTAATAGAATTTTAAAAGCGTTAGGAACTAATTACATTTTTTAAAAAATTTAATTAACTCAATTTTTCATTTTTTTTACTATAGTACACAATAGTAAAGAAAATTGAAAATTAAGTTAATAGAATTTTAAAAGCGTTTGGAAGGAATTAAAAATTTCTTTTTAAAATTCTACTCACGTAATTTTTCAATTTTTTACTATTTCTGCCGACAGAGGGCGATACTTGCTCGTTCGCTTTACTCCTTTTGGATATAAATAAAACCGTGGCTTTCCCTTCGTTTCAGATTTATTTGCTACTGATGAAGACGGACCTGTACTTGTTTGTTCTCGAAATCGATTCAGTCGTGACTAAAATCTATGCCAAACATAAGGCTGTTGCTTGGCTAATTTTATGTTCTACTTTGGCGTGTTTCCCTTTTGCCTAGAAAAAATTCTCTACCACTGTTTTTAGATAAAGCGCTACTGATGATATTTTATTCATGTTATATGAAATTTAAGGCTAATTTCTTTGGATAAACATTATATGTTTCTGAATTTCGCCTAATTCTATGTGCATCCACATCTGTTCTGAACTTGATAATCTAAAATGTTTTAGCATATGAACATTCAATAATCTGGTCTTTTCTAGCAAATTTACTCAGCATTGCAATCTATGGTAGCTTAATTTTATAGCTTGCAAAAATTCAGTTTTAATTTGACATTTTATAACATTAAATTATTTAAAGGGCATAAGAATATCTTTTTCATAGCTTTATTACATATTATCACTTTTAATTATATCTTAAAACATGGAATAATGCATAACAAGAGTCCTAATTTTAAGCAAACCTGTATACTAAAAGTAAATGGTGAATTAAAAGGTTTTTTATAGTAAAAAATCGCATAAAATGCAAGACGTTCTAATTGTACTAGTAGTTTAAATTATTTCGTATAAAAATATCGATTAAAAACAAAACAAAAGTAAATAAAAACATATCTGTAGAAAACGAACAGAAAGAGAAAATAAAATTCTCACCAAGAATCTATATATTATGAAATTAAAAAAAAAAAATTAGAATTTGAAAATTACGTACCGGCAATAACCATTCTAGCGAAACACTTATCGGACCCGAGAGAGTTGCTTACGACGCATGCATACTCGCCCTCGTCCGTGTCCCACACTTCTGTAATTGTAAGCTTGAACTCTCCATCTTTTCCTTCGCTTAACAACATCCGACCAGCAGAATGTATTTCCCGACCGTTCTTAAACCTAGAAAGGAAATAAGTTATTCAAAATAACAAAAGGTCACCTATGGTGTAATTTATCAACTAGTAGAGATACTATTATGTATGAATATGTAATATTATTTATATGTAACTCTATACATATGGAGCGTAAGCTAGTATTCGATTCTTGACAAACGCTGAGGACAATAAAATTCGATAATATTTTGAGGAAAATACGGACTTATTTTCTCAGCAAGTCTTTCACGAAAAGCATCTTTTTCTATCATAAATCTTGTCTCTTTTTATCTCATTTATCAAAATTAAATACTAGTTGCAATGATCCACATTATCCTCCATAAATTATTTTATGCAAACGTTGATAATTATTGTTTTCTATGTTAGATCGAAACATTGACAGTTATGACTATATGTAGTACTTTTACTGGTAGAGTAAACTTAATGCAATTAATATTATTCTTGTTCATAGTCTGTATATTTGGCATATAATACAACGAATAATAAATTTAGTAATAGTGAGTTTCTACTTGAACGATTTTACCACCATTAACAATCGTAGAGAACATTTCATATTGATGAATACATTAAATTCGGATTCTGAATATTAAACTCTTCCAAATTCAATTATAAACTGTATACATATACAACAATTAAATTAAATATGTTATAAAATATATTCGCTTTTAGGAATGATGGGAATCATGAGCCTATATAATAAATAAGGCGCACATTAGAGTTTAGTCGACATTTTTTACATTATTTACCACTAACTGTTAAAAGCCCTTTATAGTATCGAAAAATTTTTAATGTGAGATCAGTTTTGCGACATATTTAATTATGGCAGTTTATAATTAACATAATAACCACTGTGCTCATATTGCTACATTGACCAGAATATAAGATGATATTCCACCCTAAAATGCTCTTCTGGAAACTGCATTCATCACACAATGTACGCTAAGAGCATCTAAGAACCAAAGAGTCCGACTGAATATTTCCGACTTTAACTGGTCACCACAAGGTTTTCTTCGTAGTGGCGCATTGAGTGCTAAACATATTTGAGCAGCAACAAGCCATGCCTTTTCAGCTACGAATGGTGTTGGAGTGGATTAATAGGGCTAGTATTTAATTGAGCAAACGGTTCATACGCTCACTGCCACATGTTAACGGTACAAAAAGAAAAAGGAAAAAAAAAAAAAAAAAAGATTCGCGATTTCTTACAGCCAGATCTGCTTTTTAAAGTTCCAATAAAATGTAGCTACAAAACACAAGGCAAATAAACCTAGAGCAGTTCCGCGAATAATGTTCTCCAAGATTCCTCTTTTCACAAGATGGTGATATTTCATGGTTGCCTCTCTCGTTATATCTGTCCACTTGCAATTGTTTCTTTTGAGAATAGCTAAAACCTTTCAATATAGGCCGCAGAAAATTAAGGAAGGGAAAGATGATAATCTTTCAGACACCGAGCAAAGACGTAATTGGAGACTTGGGTGCCCCGCAGCAACGGATGGTCATGGGGCTCCCCTCTTTATTGTTACTTCCAACTTTAACCAAATTTTTTCTAGTTATGGCAGATGCTTTCTGAATAGTTGAAGTAGTTTTGCTCTCCTTAATCGGATGAAAAGTTTTTCATTAAGTTTGAAAGGCTTTTCGAATCAAAGTTTTTCGATACGTTTGAAAATGTTCTTGAAAAGTTTTCCGAATGAAAGTGCTTGTTGATATACGCTATTATATGCTATTTTTTTTTTGTTCCTGTTTAATACTATTAAGTAAAAAAATATGATATCTAAAACTATTTGGCGTTATACAGAGCGTAAGACCATGTGCATATATTTAAGTTAAATGTTGACTAGGAGTCATCGATGCATTCGCAGGTATTAGTTTTTATTTAATTAGAAATAAATATTTTTAATTTCTAATTATAAAATCCACAATATAAAAAATCGATATATGTTTCCCTCCTTACTTCGGCAGACTCTAAGCTCGGAGTCCTGGGGCTATGCCCTGGTTGTCCCGTTGGTAGTTACGGTCCTGGCATTAAGGTAATGACTAACTGCGCTTTGCAGAACGTCTGAATGAGGATTTAGGAGTATTTACTTTCGTTAGGGCAAACATTTGGACCATTCTTATTATTCTTAAAAGAATGTAAGAAGGGATAAAATGTCAAACAGTATTTTGTATGATGTTAAAATAAAATTCCGTACAGTTTTTATGTTGTCCTTTTTATTTCTGTTTTAATTTGGTAAGATCTGTCTACTGGACCTTGCACATCAATGTAATCATCTTTTCTCCCTTAACATTTAATCATAAAAAACGGTATTTTAAAGAAATAACTCAGTTGAATTTATTTCAAACAAATAAATATTGCAATTATATTGCATTTTAAGACATAACATAACAGAAAAAACATAACAGGTAAATAAATATGAATTACCATCTGGCTGTGGGTGCAGGATTGCCGATAGCTTCGCAGTCAAAGACAACTTGCTTGTTAAGGGCAACGCTCTTGTTGAACAGTTTTCTAACAAACTCTGGTTTCTGACCATCTACAATAATATATATATATATATATATATAACATTAGAATCAGAATTTTTAAAATGCATTCTAAATGTTTCGCAAGCATAGGAGAATGTATTCAATTGCTATACCTGCAACTTCGCACACCTTAACTGGATTGGTGCATGCGCTAGGTTCACTCTTGCCAGCAGCGTTGACGGCAAAAACTCTGAATTCGTATTCAGTGTTTTCCATCAGATTCATGACGGTATAGTTGCAGTCTGCGCATGGGAAGTCATTGGCTTTAAACCAGAATGTGCTACCAGCTTCTCTTCGCTCCACGATGTAACCTTCAAGGAATAAAATGACATTTAAAATTCATATGTGAATTATAAATATGTATGAAACATTAATACATTTTCATTAAATGCATCGAATTATCACAGGAATCAAGTTAAGTAGCTATAAATTAAAAAGAAATAAGCATGAGATTTATTACGAAAATTAGTTTTCGTAAATGTTCTTTAAATTCTGGAAGAAGAAATCTTTCAAACTTATTTTGGTTCTTTTGATAATAAGGCCATTTTCTTGTGTATAAAATAATAAATAGGTAACTAAATGCGTTAAAAAACATAGACTGAGGGAACTTCTATGAAAACTTTCTGGAGATATTTTTGTAAATATTGTAAATATAACGCTGTAAATTTTGTAAATATAACGCTGATTTTTGTTGTTTGTCTTCTGAATTAGTACTTTCTGGAGATAGTTTGAGAAAGAAATAGATACCATGGTATTTCGGTATCGATAAAGGTATCAACTATCGGTATCGATGAAGAAACAAACGCATTTGTTTCTTCGTCGAATAACAATTAATTCATCAAAATTTACGTTGTTATTGCTTCAACTATATTTCAGTAAAAATACAGGTGAAGCATTGTTTTCTACAACCGAATGTTTTAGAAATACACTATGACTTATTTACATATATACAAAATTTGTAACAGTATAGCTTCAAAGATCCCTTCTATGAAAATGTTTAACGTTAAACACGAACTTTCAAGTTTAAATTCTACATGAATATATATATTTGGTTTAAATGACGGTAAATTTTAAATTTATAATCCAAAGGGCCTTTGTCCCTTAAGGGCTATTGTTTTCGTTTTGCGATTTTGCGATGGCTCACTATAAATGTCTGTTTCACTTTTCAAACTGTTCCCACCAAATGTTAGAGTCCTGCAATATATCTGAAGAAATTAAATATGCATAAATGTATGTATATTTATTTCATTGTGATGAAACAACGGTACATAGAGCCATCGAATTTTGAATGACGTAATCCTCCTTCTGATATGAGCATGTGGAAGCCCAAATTTGAAAGTTAGAATTTGTTTTATGATCGATTTCATATTTTGTAAAACTTAACGAATTTTTGATTAACAAACTCAAGGATTTCAAAGCGAACATTGGCTACGTTGTACAGAAAAAACATTTTTATCTCCAACGCGCGAGTCTCTGTATCGGAAATTCTAAAGAGAAGATATGTTCATTTTAAAACTATTTTGCGATATTGTTGTTGAACTGAATTTTATGGTTTAAGTGCGCAGAACGTGATATTTAATAAATAAATGTAACACATAAAATGTTAAAAAAACGCCCCTTTGGACGTAATTTAAAATCTGAAAACTTTCAGATTTTTGTCTTATTTATTTGTTGACATTAAATTTTAAATAGGTATCAATAAGAGAAGATAAACTTCTTTTTCTTTTCTTAACAGCACAACATACAAGGAAGTTACATTTATTTATGGAGCACTGAAACAGAACAGAAGGTGCAGTTGTCTTAACCAGCAAAGATAAAATTGTCACTTAAGATATATTTTTCATTTAATCAATCAAAACCTTTGCCCGTTACGTATTCACTCATTTTATGAGTTACGGTTAAAAAAGTTGAAGGGGTTCCGCATTATTTTACAAAATACGAAACATTTTGGCTAAATCTAGTTGGGAAAAGCTAGTTTAAGTTGTTAATGAATTTACTACTAGTACATTTTTATGTATTTTTATATTCATTTCAGATTATCTTTAAGACAAAAATTGTTTTAGGAGTTTCTAACATCGTATATAAACTACCATGAAATCTATTAAAATTGTCAAATTATTTTCCATAATTTGATAGGAAAATAATATACAGAAGAACTTAAAAAATATGCGATATTAAAGACATAAGTCAAATCGTATTGGAGCTGATAATTCAAAACATACAATTTCTTATATAGTAAACCTTATCATATCACGTAAACAAAAAAATCGCGTTCAGCAAGTCTACGGTCTGAAAAACACTAATTAAAGAAGTCAAACATTGTTCAGAACAGCAAAACCAGAGGTTTAATGTTCTCCTAATTCTCAATAATGCTCTAGGACACGGTGCTGAATCTCTCACAACATTGCATCCAAATGTAGAGGTTTTATTCCTTTCACCCAGCACGACTTCCTTAATTCAACCAAAAGATCAAAGAAACGTAAAAACATTTAAAGCCTATTAGGCACGTTTACATCTTTGCAATTAAAGCGCTAGACGAAGAAAAGCAAAACACCGATTTTGCCGTGCGTGCGATGCATTAATGAGATAAACCGCACGGGCGGCAAGGGCTCACTGTACAGTCGACCCTGCATAGAAATAATTAAACTGCAATAAATAAGAACAAGTGACGAATGCTGGCTAGATCAGCTCTGGCCAGAAGAAGCTGTCAGCAAATCTGAAGGTTGAAAATGGAAGGCAAGGAACTCGTACGGATCGAAAAAGCAACAGACGGTGAAGGAGTTTCAGACATGGAAGAAGGAGAAATCAAGAATGAGCCGAGAATGACGATCGTGAAATGATAAATGAAGAATTGCATGATCTTATAACATCAGCAGACAGTGAAAGCAGCGATAACGAATAAGATAAAGAGCCTTTAACGCACAAGAAGTTAAACGAATTGTTAGAAAAGACACAAGAATTGTCTGATTTTGTGCTAGAGATTGAGACAAATGAAGAAAGAAGAGGATTCTTTATGACAGGTATTACAAAACTGTGCACTACTTCCCGCGAAACGTTTAATGATGATGTCTAAACATTGTCCCATGCAAAAATCACAAGCGATTTAAAAAGTAATTGAATCATGAACATACTTATCAAACAGCAATATTAAATCCTTTCAATTAACATTTGTGTCATTTTCTCTATTTAATTGCAGTAATGTCTAAGGTTTTATAAATTATACATACTTTCTTTATCTGAACCCGTTTTTTTCATTGAAAGTTAATTTTGCGGAACTCGATTTTGCCGTGCGCGAGATGTATTAATGAGGTAAACCGCACGGGCTGCAAGGGCTCACTGTACAGTCGTTAAATAAAATACAATATTAACGTTCTTTAAAAAAGGTGGATCTCTGCCAGTATGACTCGAAAATTACATTCCTTTTAAATATATAACTAACGTCATTACAAGCCTAATTTTTTGTTATATAATGGTGCGTTTTACTTCATTACGTAAAATGCAATTCTGCTGTTCAAATACTAATAACGTTACCACTGCCAGAAATGTTCATTAAATCGTAATTTAAATATTTTGTATAAGATTTTCACGGTATAAAAAGATGATTTTATCATTACCAATAATTTTGCTTCCACCATCAGATCGAGGTTTCTCCCACCTGAGTTCTACGTAACTGCGACCGACTTTCATAACCATCACATCCTGAGGTGGAGAAGGTGGACCTGTTGAAATAAAGAATACATTATACGTCGAAATATAAGCAATCAAAGTAAGAAATAAGTATATTAATAATATATTAATAGTTTGATAATAATATATTAATATTTGATAATAATATATTAATAGGTTTGGTAATAATACATTTATAGTTTTGATAATAATTAATAATATATGAATTAATCAATTTAAAATGCACTTCCAATTTCTCAGCTTCTCTGATCTCATTAGTGAATTCGTAAAGCAAATATTCGAAAACTATAAAAAAATCAATTGTATTTTTTTATTAAATATTCTGCCATATATTTCATTATACAGTTGATGCAGAGATCTAGGCAAAATATGTTTAATAAAGAATACTGTGATAAGTCCAAAATTCTAAAACGACGAGTGTTGCCAAAGCTTTTTTTATACAGATGTGCACTATATTTCTTTGCGTACAAAAATGAAATATACTCAGCTTGGTTTGAAAGTTTATGATGTGTATATGTTACCGGCAATATATGAAAGTTCCAATGTAGTGGCAATGTATGATTGTACAGAATACATACGGATAGAATGCCGAAACCTGGAAGGCAATGTATTAACATGTGATTAACATGTCATACATTTACTAGGTATTCTACAGAATGCCAAATGACAAACCGGAAAAGTGTGAAATATATCTCCGATTCGTTTGAGTTTCATACAGAAAATTCATACATAAGCCATATATTTAATACATTCATTCCATACTTCCATACAATTCACATATTGTTTTCTTTAATAATAAAAGCATAAAATTTGTTTCATACAACAAACATTTTTCTTTACATATTTTGAATAAAAATCTTTTAGTGACACTCTTCACTAGTTTTTCAAAATAACATTTGTTTTTATAAGAAATGCAGAGCTTTTAAAGAAAAGCCTTATCATGACTTTTCGTTACTTTAACATTTTTTATAGTTTGTCATGACCTTATTCATACTTTGCATACATTTGCCATTATATGAAACGACTAGGAAAAGTATACAATAGTTCTCAGATTTCATACTCGCCTAAAAATGCCAGGCATTCTATAAAATGCCTATGTATTCTACAGAATGCTGGCGTTTCATAGATTGCCGGTACCATATAAATTATAATATTTATTTCTGCAAATTTTTAATCAAAATTTAGTATATTATTACTATTATATCATGATACGCTTACATTTTTCTAGTGAAATAGAAAATTTAAAACATAATTTTAAAGAAGATTTTAAACTGTATCTTACTGAATTTCTTCTTCAGCTTGAAGGTGCTTGTTGGTTGGCTAGCTTCTCCCAGACCAGCCGCATTCTTAGCCTTTACTCGGAACTGATAATCATGATTTTCCGACAGGTTTGGAACTAGAAGAAACATTACAGAAATTGAAATAAAATATTTTTTGTAAAATCGCCACATGAGGATAGTTGTACCAGTATGTACGCAAAGCAAGAACTGTGTTAAATATTTTATTGATAATGAGCTGATTTTGATATTAGTGTGTAGCTTAAGTGAAACTAGAGCTTAAACAGCGCTTGGGCTCACCGGAGCCCTAAATAAGAGGGATCTGGCACTTCTTTTACGTAATTGAATCGCAATTTCAGCAAAAAAATGAATTCTTTTGATGATGGAAATTTTATTTTAATAATAATATTAATTAAAAATTCGATTATAACTTCTGAATGTATGCTTTCCTAGACTGGGAAACAAATCCTTGGATGCAGGTAGAGAATTTTAATTCAAGAATCCGCCTACATATCAAAGGCTTATTTTCCAGGAAGTAGAAGGAATTTATGACAGTGGGTAAATTTTTCTTTTCATCTTTAGTGCCTCTCCGCAGAAAAGAGCATTTGGTGATTTTTTGGAAGTATTGAATAAAATACGAAAGTCGAAAACTGTCACTTGTTTCTTTGTTCTCAGCTAACACTCATATTCACGAAAAATTTTTTCATCTGTCACATTGTGCTTGAGGGATAGAATTATACTGACAGGAATCGTGGACTGAAAGTGATAGAATCTACTCTATCTGTTTTCATATCTATACATCCTCCTTTAAAATTTTCTCCATACTCTATTACTGTCTATAGCATTCTCTCTACTTTCATTAACTTAAGTTTTAACGGTTATGTTAGAGAAAGAATAGTTTTTTTCACCATCCCCTTGAACTGGTACATTATTTTATATATTCAGGGTTGAAATTCAGCTGATTGAGCTTGTTTTTAAAATTAGGGTACGAATTTCTGTCATTGATGAAAACTGTTCAGAAGAAAGGTACTATGATTTTGTTATTGATAGTATTTTCTGTTTGAAGTAAAACCTAAGCT